CAGAGCAACTGGGAGAGCAGGTCCTCTAAAGGAAAGCAAACGACAGAAGGCTAGGAATCCTGCCCTTCACAGGCCTGCAGACTCTCTGGAACTGGCTTCGGGATCTGCCCCTAGTTAGGGGCGGGGGTGTCCAGGGGACATGGCAGATACCCAGCGAGATTTTATTCAGGACAAAGTAGAAAGGCACTCGAGTGTTCCTGGGCAGTGTCGCCGTGCGTGCTGCAGGAGATTGCTTTTGAACCAGAGCCAAGCACGTGACTCAGGGCAAGCTCCGGAGGCCCCACTAGCCTGGGAAGTGAGGCCGGTAGCCCATTGTTCAGATGGGACCGGCTGGAGCTTTCTACCAGCCTACTAGATATTACTCAGCTGGTAATTAGAATGGCTATTCTCTTCCGTGTTCTCGTGAGTTTTCTGGGGGTGTTGAGGTGGGGCAGTGTTGCCAAGGTTACCCTTTCTCTGCACTTCCTGACTGAATCCGTAACACGGCTCAGCTAGACAAGAAACGCAGACCGAAGACATTCAGGTTTCAGTCTGGCCGGATGGTAGCCAGCGCAGAGTTGGACTTCGGTGCTAGAGCTGGGGTTTTCGTGGAGGAATGGGAGTTCACACACACCGCAGTATTCAGGTGCTCCAATGGGCTCAGTGCTTGTGGGTCGTTCCTGGCGGGGCTTGGAGGAACATTAACTGTTGGGACTTGACATGGGCCTCCAGTTCGGGCCTCCCACATGCCAAGCATGCACTCAGCCCAATGAGATATCTGAGCGAACGTCTGGGGGAGCTCAGGGCTTACTCTGGACTCTGCACTGAGGGATTGCTTGTGATGGGCTCTGGGAACCATACGGGGTACCAGGAATTGAACCCGGTGAGCTGCATGCCGGGCAGCAGCTCTGCCTGCTGTACTGTTCTCCCAGAGCTGGAGTTTTTAGTGGTGCTGGTGGGCTAAAACATTCGAACTGGTTGGAGACAGGCATCCTGTCCACTTAGATTAGTGGCAGGACATTCATTTCAGTAGCTGCTTTGGAGTTTCTGTGGTGACAGGCCTGAGCTTGGTGGGCTTTCTGGAGGGTCTCCAATAGGTCCGCCTCTAAGAGCACTCAGTGGACTAGCGGTCCAGGCTCTCGTTTCTCAAGCCTCACAGAGCAGGTTCTGTTTGCGCGATCTCAGAGATCTACTTTGAGCCTCGGTTTCCTTGTCTTTTAAGATGGGTTCTGGTGAGGATGTATGACTTTTAACGTCCAGAAGATGCTGAGCACAGTGCCTGGAACCCTGTCAGGTATTCAATAATTGATAATTGTGCTATTCTTAGGCATTAGCCAACTGCTAGTAGATCTAGGGAAATGTTTACCTGTGAAACACTTGAAGTGCCACTGGTCTGGGGCACGGGACTGGGCACTGAGATTGAGCTGGAGATGCTAGGGGAGCAGGACTGTATCTTCCAAGAAGTAGCACTGTAGCACTGTCCTCCCTTTTTTCATCGATTTGCTGGAGCGGGCACCAGTAACGTCTCCATTGTGAGACTTGTTACTGCTTTTGGCATATCGAATAGCCACGGGGAGCTTGCCAGACTCTGCCATGTGTGTGGGATACTCTCGGTAGCATGCTGGGCTCTCCTCGAGGGACAGAGGAATCGATCCTGGGTCAGCCACATGCAAGGCAAACACCCCTACCCGCTGTGCTATCATTCCAGCTCATTCCAAGAAGTAGACACCCAAAAACGGGAGCTCGTGGAATCATCAAAGGGCTGCCCTTGCTATCAAATCAAAAACTATTTTCTGGCCTGAGACCACCACTACTGGGGGACTTTTTAAAGACAGCAGGAGGGGGAGATCTGATCTGGTGCCACTCCCTTGCCATTTGATCATCCTGCTAAATTGATCTCCTCCTCTCCCCCCCCCCCTCCCCCAGATTAAAGGCCTTCGGGTTTCAGCTGCTTCTGCGTCAGGTTATCAGAGGTGCACTTCTGTGGACGCTCAGTGGGATAAACGGGATTAGGACCTCTTTGGGAGTCCCATCTGCTCTGCCCCTACCTGGAGGGCTTTGTGCCAGAATTTGGAGGAAGCTGATCCAAGCGGGGGGGGGCGGGGGGGGGGGTGAGTGGCCTGAGGTAGGTGGGTCTCAAAGAGGCCAGGAAATCCTTGCAGGGTCCCTGGGTCTCCTTCAGCTCTGAGCTGAGCAGCAAACCCTGATGAGTCAGCGTGCCTGGAGCTGCCAGTCTGTGAGCATGTGGGGTTTGTGGAAGTTTAGGGCTTTTGTTTCTTTCAGCGCTCCAGTCTTTAGGAACACAAATCTGGAAAGCAGACCCTCCACATGGTATAGTCCTGCTTGTTGTGAGATAATTCAACTGGAACAGTTGCTTCCCATGTTTGATGGCCTTCCAAGAATTAACCCCTTGCCTCTTAAAATCAGCTGTGGGCTGGATTGATAATACAGCGGGCAGGGCGCTCGCGGTGGCCAAGCCGCTTCAATCCCTAGCACCACGTCTCGTGTCTGAGCAAACCCAAGGAGTGATCCCTGAGCACCGCCAGGTTTGGCCCCCAAACCAAAGAAAAACTAAAAGGAAAGTTTTAATAGGTTGTGTATATGGTTTACTCGATACAGCCTCTTACAGCACAATGAGGCTTGAAAAATAGACCCGGGTCTGTCATTTTTCTACACCAAACACCCTTATAAAGGTTTCAGTGTGTTTGGGAGCTGAAGTGAAATTGAAAGTCTTCTCAGAGCATGTACAGACATGTCTCTCATTTATTCTCTTAGAGGATGGAAAATGGGACACACCCTGATAGGAATCTCCAGTAACTACAGGAATTGTTCTGGTCTTCATTTTCAGCTTGTATGCTCAGAACTTACCCTTAGGATTCCTTATAGAGATACCCCCAGACTATTTGGGGGAAGCTGACTTCATTGGGGAAAGTTTTCCATTCCAGCCTCTTTTAAAAGGTATCTCTCTGTCCCACTGAGCACTTTGAATTTGGACCCTTAACATCATGAGAGTTTCCCAGAGCTGAGGAGGTAGGGACTGACATTCGTTTGGTCTCTCCTCTGCTTTTCCTAGTTAATTCTGTGCCTCCTGGTCTAAATTTCTATTAACATTGTCATTTTGTTGACTGCAATTATTACAGCAGGGGACAATTTTTTTTTTTTTGGCTTTTTGGCTTTTGGGGTCACAGCTAGCAGTGCATGGGAGTTACTCCTGGCTCTGCACTCAAGGGACAAATTTTTACATGTACGTTCTAGTAGGCAAGTTGAAGGTAGGGATATAGTTTTGGGGTGGGGCTAGAGAAACAGTACTGGGGTTAAGACATTAGCCTTCTTTGTGGCTGACTCAGAGCTTAGTTCCCCACAACCCTGCCAGGGGTGATCCCTAAGCACGGAGCCTGGATAAGCCCTGAGCACTGCTGGGTGTTGCCCCAAAACCAAGGAAAGATGTAGTCTTCAGAAAAATCACCTTCTCTAGGCCCAGAAACTTCTAACAGTTCTTTGGAGAAACTTCTAGCAGTTCTTTGGATGTATATGAGTAGTTAGTAAGCCACAGTGATGAGTTTATATATCAGCTCAGATTCTTCCCCCTATCTAGCAATTATCTTACTGTTTAGAGATCGTTTTTGGGTACTCTGTGTAGTCTGCGTTTTCCTGGCAATTGAACTCAGGTGTGTGAAACATTTACCCTACCCCTGGGCCGTATCCCCTGCCTCAGCCCTTTCCACCAAATTTCAGGGAGAGACTGAGTCTCCAGACCCGATAGGACAGTCGTGTGCTGTGGGAACTGGGCTTGTATTCTGCATGCCGCTCCCGGGTGACCTGAGGGGAAGATAAAGCAGCCCAGGGAGGAAGAATAGAGAAATTGCCTCTCGTGGGTTAGGCCTGGAAAATGCACTATAGCACGGTCCTCCTGTTGTTCATCGATTTGCTCGAGCGGGCCCAGTAACGTCTCCATTGGAGACTTTGTTGTTACTGTGTTTGGCATATCGAGTACGTCACGGGGAGCTTGCCAGGCTTTGCCGTGTGGGCGAGATATTCTCGGTAGCTTGCCGGGCTCTACGAGAGGAGCAAAGGAATCGAACCTGGCTCGGCTGGGCCAGCTGCGCGCAAGGCAAACGCCCTACCGCTGTGCCACCATTCCAGCCCCAGGCCTGGAAAATAAAAATGGAAAATAATCAGAAACGAATTTTACTTTGTTCTTCGCATGGCACTTGATTTGTTTTTGTTTCTGTCACACCTGGCAGTCTGCAGGGCTTACTCATGGCTCTGCACACAGGAATCACTTTGGCTGGTTCAGGAGACCATGTTGGGTGCTGGGGATCGAACCCTGGTCAGCCACACGCAAGGTGAACACCTTACCTGCTGCACTAGGGCTCTGCCCCCTTTGGGATGTTTCAGTATTGACCCTGCAAATCTTTTCCCACATCTTTTGGCTCATGTGAAATTGTGTAGCCATCTTGGCGTGCCCACACTTTCTCTTTAGTCATCCTACTTGAAATTCTCTTTAACTTTGGAGACTGAAAGATGAACCTTCCGTTTGTACTTCCTTAACACACTTCCAAGTAATTTTTCCTATATTATAGCAAGTTGGTAATACCAGTTTCCTCTGGAATATTCTTAGCAAACCTGTGTGTAGTTTTTCTGGATGCATTCTGCATATGAATCGAACTCCTCCATACCTCGCTATAACCCCTTAAGAAGGGGGAGAGTGGCTCAAATGACCCAGGGTTCCATCTCCAGCACCGAATGGTTTCCAAGGAACCACAGGTTTAGCCTCGAATCTGTTCCTACCCCGCAGAAACGTTTTAGGAATTTGAAGAGTCGTTTCTTTGTTTCCTGGCCCCTGCGTTTTCAAGGTGGAAGCCTCTGAAAGAGGCGGTGATAAACGCGGGGTATCTCCCCTGGCTCGTGGTCACAGTCAGCTCGCTCAAATGGAGCCTCGTCTCGGTATCGGAGCCTGGAGGGCCGGGGGCACACCTGTCACTCTGACTGCTCATGACTGTTTTCTGATTTCCTTCCAGGTTGGCTGGCTCCTCTGGCTGATGGCATGTTGAAACACATGGGCCAGAGGCAGCGAGGGCATCTGATCTCGGGGGGCCCACTCTAGGGGCCAGGCCGCAAGCATCATGGGCCAGTGTGTCACCAAGTGCAAGAATCCCTCATCAACCCTGGGCAGTAAGAATGGAGACCGCGACCCCACCAAGTCACACAGCAGGCGGGGTGCCGGCCACCGCGAGGAACAGCCACCAGCCTGTGGCAAGCCAGGTGGGGACATCCTTGTCAACGGGACCAAGAAGGCAGAGGGTGCCACTGAAGCCTGCCAGCTTCCAACGTCCTCAGGAGATGCCGGGAGAGAGACCAAGTCCAGTGCCGAGGAGTCTTCCTTGCAGAGGTTGGAAGAATTGTTCAGGCGCTACAAGGACGAGCGGGAGGATGCAATCTTGGAGGAGGGCATGGAGCGCTTTTGCAATGACCTGTGTGTTGACCCCACGGAATTTCGAGTGCTGCTCTTGGCTTGGAAGTTCCAGGCTGCTACCATGTGCAAATTCACCAGGTTAGTGACAACTACTTCAGGTCACCAGGTGAGCAGAGGAGGAAAGAGAGCCTCATTAGGCCATGGTGCCCAGCTAGGATAGAACTGGGTTGGCTTCAGAGGGTGCGGGGTAAGTCGTCTCTTCTTTTTCTGACCAGTTTCTCTAAAAGTGTAAATTTTTTCTGAGCTGAATTAGATTTCTCACTCACAGAATTCCCCCAGACCTCTCCCATTGTTCATCAATTTGCTTGAGCAGGCGCCAGTGATGTCTCCATTGTGAGACTTGTTACTGTTTTTGGCATATCGAATATGCCACAGGAAGCTTGCCAGGCTCTGCAGTATTCACTAATCTGGTGGGAAAATAGATACCTGGTCCTACTACTGACCTGTACTGAGTAGCAATCATTATAATTTGAATAAGCTTCTCTCTGGTTCTGAGGGGCACTCCACTTCTCTTCTCCCAGAATTGAATCCTTGACCTAGTTTGTAGGTTAGATTTGGGGCATGCCATCAGACAGCCTCTGAATTAATTGGCACTGACCATCCTTACCTGAAGTTGGGTGAAGAATTATCTCCGATCAGTCCCACTGCTGAGCTGTTCCTCCTGAGAGAAGGAGCCTCGGGGAAGCACTTCATCCCGTGGATCCAGTTGCCACTTCTAGTTCTTTCGGTTCTTCCTACCCTGTCCTCAGCTAACCTCTGCTGAGCCTATTGGTAGCTGTTATCAGAGCTTCAGGAACATTCTACCCAGGACCCCTTGTGCCCAAGCAGTGCAATGTAGGAAGTGCTGTTCTCCCTTGGATTCATAATGTGTTTGACTGGGAATTCTTGGTCGTCACATGTTCAAAATGCTTTTGCCATTGCCAAAATTTTTACATTCACCCTCCACCTTCATTTGTGCAAGCCCACATAGGTCCTCACGTAGGGCCTGGGACCCTCAGAAGCTGTGGTGTCTCCCGCCTTGGTCAGGCTGCCTTTCAAGGCTGTTTGGGGGAAGGACCCGGTGGGATGGGTTTCCATGTGGTTCCCAGGATGTGAGATTGATTCAAAACAAGAATGGGGGGCTGGAGCGATACACAGCGGGTAAGGCGTTTGCCTTGCACGCGGCCAATGCGGGTTCAATTGCCAGCATCCCATATGGTTCCTCGAGCACCGCCAGGAGTAATTTCTGAGTGCATGAGCCAGGAGTAAGTAACCCCTGTGCAGCACTGGGTGTGATCTAAAAAAAGCAAAAAAAAAAAAAAAAAAACACAAATGGGCTTTCCTAAGACACACCCACCACCTTCCTGTACGATTTCGGCATAAGGTGCTCAGCGGCCCCTTTACCTTTTAGTGGATATAGCAGGGGTCTCAGAGGCCATGTTGTAACTCAATACCGACACAAATTTTACTTTTTGATGACTTTGATCTCTAGTGGCAGTTACTCGGGTTCATCCAGGATGTTTGGTCCCGAAAATCTCTCGGCAGACATCAAAAATGTTCCCCAAACTACTCAATTACAAGACTCCCTGTCTGCGAAGAGAGTTCGCAGAATGAGAAAATGGGCATGGAGCAGGTGACTTGAGTTTAAGCCAAGGGAAGAGGAGTAAATGAATGAACCATTTCAGCTACCTGCCAGGTACTGTGAGAAGCAGTTGCCGTTCTTGCCTTGTTTAAGCCTCACGAAAAAATTTACGAAATAAAGTGGTATTCTCACCATGATAGAGACAGAGATAGGACTGATTCCTAGAGGAAGCAGGATGAAATCCAGGCCATTCCGCCCTAAAACCATGCTCTTAATCACCACGCAGCATTGCCTCTCAGTAACCTGATCCTGTTTACAGTTACTAATTCTGCCCCTCCACCCTTTGCAGGAAGGAGTTTTTTGATGGCTGCAAAGCAATAAGTGCGGACAGCATTGATGGGATCTGCGCCCGTTTCCCTAGCCTCTTAACCGAAGCCAAGCAAGAGGATAAATTCAAGGATCTCTACCGGTTTACATTTCAGTTTGGCCTGGACTCTGAAGAAGGGCAGCGGTCACTGCATCGAGAAATAGCCATTGCCCTGTGGAAACTAGTCTTCACCCAGAACAACCCTCCAGTTTTGGACCAGTGGCTAAACTTCCTAACAGAGAACCCCTCGGGGATCAAGGGCATCTCCCGGGATACTTGGAACATGTTCCTTAACTTCACTCAGGTGATTGGCCCTGACCTCAGCAACTACAGTGAAGACGAGGCCTGGCCAAGCCTCTTTGATACCTTTGTGGAGTGGGAGATGGAGCGAAGGAAAAGAGAAGGAGAAAGGCGAGGCGCGCTCAGCTCAGGGCCCGAGGGCTTGTGTCCCGAGGAGCAGACTTAGGTGGCTCTGTCGCAGGAGCAGCAGCAAGGGTCTGCCCGCTGCCCCGCAGCCTAAAGAGGATTTGGACCTTTCTGGAAATTACTGAAGATCCGGATATTTTCTACTTTACACCTTTCTCTGCCTTGTATCTGAAAGGGCTCTAAAATGCTGTATCATGTTTTAGGCACTTTCTTCACTTTTCGGTTATTTTGGTTATTTCTTTTGGCGGGAGGGGGGAATGTCACCCCAAATATTTGACCCTGGCTACATGTTGTGTATCTTTTTTTTTGGAAGCCTTCGGATAGACTACGCCTACGCCTGCCATTTCTTGCACAAATTAGACCTTTTTTTTTCTTTTTTGGTGGGGGAGGGTGTAGGACAGGGAGGGGGGTCGGGACCTTAGGTTGAATTAACATTACAAAAATGATACAGTGCCAGATCTCAGTTTGCATATTGTTTTTCAGGGCAGGTCTGTACTGTATAGTGCTGTTTACATGGTTGAATTTAGGTTGCGATGATTATTTTAAAAGATTTACACCGAGTTGAATAGCAGTGTTAACTGTTAACCACGTTGCATTAATTTCCAGGCAATTTGAAGCTCTCGGATAGCTGAGGCCAGCCAAGAGCATTTGAGTCTGGTGACAACCCCCTTTTAAGCTAATTTATCTGAACCCCCCTGTTTTCTTCACTTCTTGCTCATTCCTCGTTTGGCCTTTAGCATTTCGTGTTGAGTTTCTCCATCACCACGCTGCACCTGTCAGTCAAGTGAGCAGTTTGTTTAGAACATTGTACTTAGCAACCACTTAAGCATTGGATGCAGAGAAAGCAGTGCTACCTCAGTTTTGCTGGAAGTAGACTTTGATCATTTTCTTTCTTTGATGAATTTCCCGTATTTTCATGTTGTGAGTGGAAATACTTTTTTTTTTCTTTTTAATTTGCCTTGGAGCCAAAGTTTCTGTTCCTGGTGGTCGGAAGACTGTTTGCCGACCAACTGACTTGAAGGAAAACTGTGGTATGGAGCTCTGCTTGAATTTGTTTTATTGTTGTTTTTTCCTCCCCTTTGAGTTATCATCGGCTTACTTGTCTGGCAAGTGCAGAAGCCTGGGGCTGGCCTGAACTCTGCCAAACAAATCTAGACGTGTATTTAATAGTTAAATGTGTGCCCTCTTCCCTTCTTGCTGCACCCGTGTTGTCACTTAACCCCCAGGAGTTATTTATTATCTTCTTTGTTCATGTCAGGCTCATTTGGGGTAATGTGATGACGGTTTAGGTTTACATGACCCTCTTGGATTCCCTACCCCCAAATATGTATCTATACATATATCAGATATGTATATATTTTACATTTATAAAATATATATATACACGTATATGTATATCCTTTGTTTCCTTGCCTGCTAAAACTGGCCATAAGAGAGGGCGCTGCCTTCAGTATATAGAGTGTGAGTGCCAGGGAACGTCGGAACGGAGGTTTTTGTGTCTGTTGGACCTCTTTGACGGTAGACATGAACTTTCACTCCTTTCTTCACAAGAGGGAGGCCCAGTTCCCCCAGTCTCCTCCCCGTGTTCACTCCGCAAGGCCAGCCTTGGCCAGACTGCCGCATGGGAGTCCTTCCCACCTGGAGTAGGTTGCCCTCTTACTATTTTTTCCATTTAAAAAAATACCCTCAAAAGTTGTACTTGGAGGGTGGGTGGCAGGAACTTGTATGGAAGTTTAGCTTCTAACACCTGGGAACAGACTGAAAAGGGATTATTTAAAATAAAAACCTAAAATATATTTATATTCTTGAGGCAATGAACATGTGTCTACTAAAATTTGGTGTTTTCTTACCTAACTACCCATCCTCCCTCCCAGGTACATTTCTCAGCCTGGGCAGGAATCTCTTACTTTGAATTCATTCATCGGCTGTAGCTGCAGGCTCAGGAGTTTCTGATGTCTTTCTAAAAGACATGTGCATAGGGATTTGGCTTTTTATTTTATTTTTTTATTTCATTTTTTTCATCTTAAGTCTGACCGTTCTTAGGCAGATGGGAAACTTGAAATCAGCCACAGGTTAGGGATAGCCTCCCAAGCCAGAGATTTGACTTTGTTCTAGATGTGTAGAGTATTTTTCTGGATCCTAACATCCTCTGTGGGGTACCCAGACTATAGTTTCCCTTCTCTGACCAGTCTAACCTCATTTTCCCAAGTCTAGACCTGGTAGAAGTTGAGTGAGGGAAAAGGCAGGCTGGCCACAGGTAGGTCCAGCTTTCTGTTCCAAATCAGAAAGGTGTGTGGAGGGCAGGGTGCTGAGGTGCTTGAGCGTTCTTGAATGAACTGGGTCCTTCCCCAGCCATGAGTGGTCAGATGCTGGATAAAACGGTTTTCTTTTCTAATTAATATTCAGCTCTCCACCTCCCATCCCCCACAAAAGAGCCATTTAAAAATTTTTTATATATTTTTTTTATGATCTATTTTGTTACAAAAATACAAAGGAGAAGCCAGAAAAGGAAGCAGTCAAAGAGGGATGTATAGGCCCGCCCAGGTTTGGGGTCCCTGACGTAAGGACTTCAACCTTTGAGGTACCTCTGGGCCAACATTTGACTCCGGTGACCATAACAGGAAGTGCTGTCACCCTGCAGAGGGATTCCAGGCGGGGTGACCGTGGTCTGCCGTTAAACCTACGGGGAAATAAAACATCTGTGTTCCTCTTAACCAAAAGATAGGTTCTCTACTCACTGAGGGAGCTCTGAGTATGTGGAATGGCCCGATGAATATTCGGCAGGATATTCCATCCATCACTTTAACTTTCCACCAGGATGGTATGGAGAGAGGCAGGGATTGGGAACCATCTAGAAATGGAAAATCCCAAGGGCGACTACTAGAATGGGCACTGGGGAATCACATGGTTTGGGCAAGCGTTTTTTTGTTGGCAGCTTTGATGGTATTTCCGTAGCAACTTATTCGGAAGCTCTCTGAGATGAAGCGTGGAACTGCTTCGTGGAACTGCTCTTTCCCCATCCCTGCCAAATTTGAATGTATCACTCTTCACGCCACCCTCAGTCACCCTTCGCTTGGCTTCAGCTGGGTACATTAGTCGTTCTCCTTCACCTCTGCTAGGTGTGTCCTCCTCTAGATAGAAACCTAGAGCTGAGTGGAGAAACTGATTTCAACTAAATCCTCAAGGCCCAAGTAAATTCAGCCAAAAAAAAAAATATGTCTAAGGCAGTGTTTTCAATACTAACGTTTCCCCAAGGAAGGCAAGCCTAGCCTCATGGGGAAGAAAGGATGGAGCCACACAGTATTAGTGTCTTGGAAACAGTGCTTTTCTCTTGGGTTGGTGCCAAGATGCAGCCCCTGAGTACTGGAGCCTGCAAGGGGGGCGGAGGGTGCCCCACACTCCGTGCCATGGCCTCTCAAATGCTATATTTTGCCAAATTGTGTTGTTCAACAATGGTTGGGAAATTACTGGATAATGACTCGGGTCCAAAAGAAGTTTTAAAACCAAAAACATCTCTATTTTTAGGAGTTTGGTTTACCACATTTAAAGTGAGGTCTTTGGTGCAATGAAGCCCCAAAGCCTGACCCAATTGTACAATTATAAGGGCTGGTTTGTTTTTAAGTTGCCTACTTCACCTTTTTTGTCTCTAATATTTGGTTAGTAATGACTTGAACATTTTGGTGACTGACAGCGTTCTTGGGGGACTCGTAAAAACCTAGGTAACTGTCAGAGGTCTTCCTGAGAGGGAACTCCAGCAGCATCTTGCTTAAACAGATGAAAATGCTTTGGAAAGTATTCAAGTGTGTTGATTGGAACGAATCACAGCAAGTTCCTCACCTATCACAGTTCACTTCCTGAATCAGACAGGGGGTCCCCCCTCTGCCCCCACCCTCCCTTACGAGATTGAGGGTGAACTCTAGCATCTACCCACTTTAACCTAAAGCTGGATTGTGTTTGAAGATCAATCGGTGTTTTTCTTTATTGAAAGACAAAATCGAGGCTTGAGCACTTGGGTGTCAAAAGCCAAGATGGTTCAGATAGCTTTGAGTAACTATCCATTTCTGTTTCCGAGTCAGGTGCTGGGTATCATATTCCTCTTGGAAATTCAGCCTGCTGTCAAAGATACCTGCCTTCCATCACTCCTTACTACTTTCAACACACTTCTTGGATATTGCCAAAGGAAAGCTGTTCAGCTGCTGCTGTGGGTCCCCCGCAAAACAAGCAAACAAACACACATTTATTCCATGAGAAATGTCTTCCCTCTGGCCATGGTCCCTGTCTCCAAGTCTGTGATTAATTGCTCTTACCTGTTGCACTAATGAATATGATTCTGGGTTTCTAAGGGGGAATGTGAAGCAATAGGCAAACGGGGCCTGGGTGGATGAGTCCTACAGATACCCTGCCTTAACCCGCTGAGGTGATGAGTCCACTGCTCATGTGACCCTCCACCTTTGTGGATTCCTCTTGGTTTGTGACCAGTGTGTCTGTTTTTGAGGTTGTACAAACTTGTTGACAAAAGTCAATGCTTTTGTTTGTATTCTCTGCACTGTTGCACTCTCCAGATGGCCCCTTGAATATTTTTAACTTGTTATACACATTTTGTCTTTGATGTCTACATTATTTCTTTCCTTTGATTTTTATTTTTTAATTTGGAAGGTTACCTGCTGTTGGATTTAATAAATTTGTTTACTTGACAATTGACAATTCTGGAAAAAAAGAAAAACAATGACTTTATTGTGGAGTGAGATTTACCTTTCAGTATGATTCTGGATAGCAATGCCTTTGCTTTGGAAAATAACCCAGGTAGTCTAGGATTCCCAAAGTCAAAACATGGATACCGAACACACACACACACACACACACACACACACACACACACACACACACACCCCTTAAAGGGACCACATGTAGGGTTCTGCTACTTTTATAAGCAAAAAAACAAATGATTCCAGTCATTACCTTAGCAACTGATCTGTTCTCCCATAAAGAACAGAACGTGAATTTGAACACTGCCAAATGGATGGCTCCTATACATTTTAGCACATTGACAAAGGAGATAAACTGACAACGACAAAAGGACGCTTGCCATGGTTTTGTGACCTTTGGCAAGCAAGTGAAATTCTGGGTTTCCTTTTGCTCATCTATAGAATCAAGAGACTTATTTCTACTAGTATTTAAAATAAATTATAATCAAGACACAAATATTCAGTCAAGTATTCAGTCGCTTAAATATGAGGTAAAACAGTGAATCCGAAGAACAAGAGAGGGTGGTCCAGCCTGGTCACACACGCTCTTTGATAAGCCACTGCCTGCCCTGCTTGGCACTCAGTTTCCTTCTGTGCCCAAA